CAGTACTGGAGTATGGGACCCTCCATCTCTCTCTACCTGGACTGTAGAGTAAAGAGACAGGTATATTCACTTAGCACAGGTTAAAAATAGATGCTCATCTCGAAAGAAACAGGTGTTCTAAAATAGCATCAATCTATGTTTATCAAACATCTGTATACTGCATGATTCTTTTCAGATTCTCATTTGAGAGGTATAGGAAGTGGCTACCATGGGGAGCAGGGGCAGTGGGACTTCTCTGCTCTGCTGCATCACCACCTGTGCTGTGATAACTGGTGGTGTCTTGCAAGAGAAGCAAGAGTAAGTCCCCTTCCAAATACTGTTCTGTTTTTACAATGTTTGACTCCCAAACTTATGACGCCATATATAGGAAAGGGAAAACAGTACCTTCTGAGAGAAAATAGTAATGTACATACAGACAGAGAGTAAGGTCGAGTTTTAGTCATGTATAGTAGACATCCATGATAGTATTTTCTATTCCGATGCCTTTGAAGCTGAGCATGTACAATTGCAATGCTGTTCTGTGAAAGAACATTAATTGCACTCTCACTTCCAGGACTATACGTGCTTCGAATATACGCTAGCGCTACACTCGAAAAGCAAAGATGAGCTAACACACTATCTACTTTGAATTATAAGGTGTATCTGTCTTAATAGCAACCATGGTGATCACAGCAGCAAATGACAGCGAAAATTCCCGTACTGCCTGTGGTCAGAAAACATCAGACGGACACAGCAACAACGACACTAAATGGGCGGTCTGTTGCGTGCAGCGTCCAGCTAACACACACCGGCGGCCCACCAGAGCCCAAGCGTGAATCCCTCGAGCCCAGCCTACACCAGAAACACCTCCATTCCCTGGACAGTCCACTCAATGATCACGGACCATACCAGACCAACTAGCGTGAGTATTCTGTCATCTTCTGACTCGCCGGATGAACTAGAACAATCCTTGTGCCTCAGCCACCAGAAGTCCCGTAAAGAAGATGTGTAGATATGTAGAACAAGAGAGAGGTTGGGAGAACAAGAACCCAGAAGAAAGCCGAATGACAGCAGCAATACTCAGAGCACACAACGGAGGATCATTGTGCTGCGTTACGTGTAGTCCAGACAGAGAAACCTGACACCTGAACCAGCAGAACAGTAGCTCAGAACCACCACCAGGAATCACACAAAAGGTGACTGTCTCAGCCGCCATAGCAGTGTTTCCCAACTCTTGAAAGTTACTCCAGTATTGTTCAAGGCTTACATACCTTTACAACATGGAGGTGGAGATATTCTTGTCACCACCATGCACAGCCACTATACTATGCCCACCCACCTCTCTACACGTCTCTAGGCCACCCTTTTCCCAAACTAAACTGTCGTGTTTACTCTGAACATTTTGTGAAAAAGCTTACTATACATTCCTCCACAATGGGTGTTTACACAGTACATTTGCTGAAAGGCATGGGTGGCAGATGGACTCCAACCAGTGTCCCCATTGTCACATCTCCGTAAAAGTGCTTGCATGTCATAAGTGGACCTGCACAGTTGTGTATACAGGTTCAAGGTAGTATGTACATGCAAATGCACTATCATGCTCATGTGACTCCAGCCCATGTTGTTTCCTAGGGTCTGCTGTATGCAGAAGTGAGTCTAAACACAGAAGGAGGTGGTTTTGGTCTGGTTGCAGATAGAGTCGAGTATGCCGCTCTGGACCTCAATGCCATGGCCAGCCAACACCACACCTCCTCCTCCACACGATCTAGTCCAGCTAAGTCTTGTTTTTAGTACGCTGGTCAACCTATGCTCAGCAATTTTCAGGGGCCTATTGTAGTACTCTTCAGAAGTGTGCTTCACTTTAATGTGCACTCAAAGGGGTCTGTAAGGGTATACCTTTTATACTACTCTGAGTATTCTTTCTACCTTCTTAAAGCCATACTTGCTTGTATATACCTGCAAAAAGTCATTTGCTATCCCTTAAAAGTTTTTTTGTGAAGAAAGTTCTCAAGTCACGTTGATTAGTGAATGCAGTCATGCGAAAACCCATCGTACTCTAGTAAAGTATTACCTGTACAGGCGGTATATAGTGTGTATCAAACTTTCTATATCTGCAGATTCATCAAAGTGAGTCTGGACCAGATCCTCATTCAGTTTGACGGAAGTCACGCTCTCACTGGGGAGACTAGTAGAGGCAGTCTGGTGTACAGAGGCTGGACGCAATATCTGATATGTCTGTCAACCATGGGCATACTGTATTGTCTTATTGAGATCTCTCTCTGTCCAGGTGGTAGTGAGAGTGTAGGCAATGTGTGAGGTGGTGGATGGATGGCGTGGCCACCTCCAACTCCAACAGCCCACGTGATGGAGAGTGCTGATGTGGTGACCGCATTGTCACCATGCCCTTGACTGCTCCCTACAGACAGGTCGATCATCTCAGGTGATTTGCCCCACTTGGACAAAGTGTGCATGCTTTGTAAAGTGTGTTGTGAGTAGATGCACAGACAATGTATATTGGAACTAATTGTATACACATGACCTTCTTCTCTTTTGACATTTGTTTTATTGCAGGGGAGCTACCATTGAGGTCTCCAATGCTGTTCCTGATAGTGTGATGTATCAAAACGAGGCCCCACCCCTCATACCCTCTCGTGAACCTAATAATGACAGGAGCAAGTCTTCCGAAACTCCTCCACCCATACCACTGAAATCCTACAAACACTCAGCTTAGCTCTCCAGAAGACTCTGTGTGTGACAATTCTTGTTTTATGTATCAAAACACACTATTCAAAGTCCAAGTGCCCAAGACTTTCATATCATGCATTACACACAAATCCCATCACACATAACAGTCACATTGGTGAATAGATATCTACAATTGTATATATATACTGGACTGAGATTGTCTGTTCCGATGCGGGCGGGGGGGTACCAGGCAGCGCGCCGCCTCTGCCCTCGCGCGGATCGAGACGCGCGCACGCGTGGTGGATGGATGGCTGGCCAACCTCCATCCCAACAAGCCCACGTGGAGGGAGAAAGCTGATGTGGTGGACAGCATTGGTCACCATGACCTGGCTCACTCCCTCAGACAGGTCTACATCTCAGGTGATTTGCCCCACTTGGACAAATTGTGCATGCCTTTGGTAAAGTGTGTTGTGAGTAGTGCCACAGACAATGTATATTGGAACTAATTGTATACACATGACCTCTTCTCTTTTGACAATTTGTTTTATTGCAGGGAGCTACCCATTGAGGTCTCCAATGCTGTTCCTGATAGTGTGATGGTATCAGCAGACTCTGTGTGACAATTCTTGTTTTATGTATCAAAAAACACACTATTCAAAGTCCAGTGCCCAAGACTTTCATTACAATTCCCATCACACATAACAGTCACATTTGTGAATAGATATCTACACTTGTATATACTGGACTGAGATTGTAGTATGTTTCATCTGTTCCGATGCAAGTATTATACAACTAAGAGATTATGACCTGCAAGTGTTGGTGTAGCCACTGCATGACTGAAACGCTCTCTCGACTTTGAAACTGCTATCTGCAGCTAGCTAAACAACACCACGCTGCACGGCAGCGGGCCGTACCATCGCACGCGTGTGCGCGCACACGCGCACACCCGTGTTAAGCAATTGCGCATGCGCTCACCATTTGCCTATTGAGCATGAGAGGGCGTCCGTCAGTTGCAGAATGAACCGCTGTTTATGAGAAATGCTCTCCGTTTATTTGTTAATTTGTTGGCTCTGGTGGAGCTGTGGTAGGTCTACACAGTATTTATGCTCACAATATGCTTTGTTTGAATCTTTGTACAGTCTACTCATCTGAGCCAGGACATGAGGATTGTGGGACAACTGTGAACCTTACCAGTGTCAATAACACCATCATCTATGTGAATGCCTCCCTGGATACAGTATGCTTCGAATGTGACTACACACACTTTTTGGGTCTTATTCGTGAGGTGGTGTTCGGGGTGAATGACACAAATGTTACTGCCAACAGCACCCTGGGAAGAGTGGTGAATAATTATCCACATGATTATACAGATACACTGGTAGTGAATGGCAGTGGCAATGTGTTCAGTACATTCTGGGATACAAACATACAATGCTGTGAGAAACGTTTATGCAATGTGACTTATTTCATGGCAAAAGTGGGAGCTTTGCTCTTTAAAGGTATGTAACTACGGTAGATTTTAGTTGGTATCACTATCACTAAATTATCTCCACCAGTTTTCAACCCTCCATCCATTATGGGGGAAACAGAGGTTATTGAAGGCAATACGTTACATCTATTGTGTGATGGGTCAAATTCAGACCCTCAACCAAATTTACAATGGATCTCTCCTGATGGGAAGATGGTCAGTGAGAGTGGGGAACTTGATATAGTGACTACCACCAGGAACATTACTGGGATATACACCTGTGTAGCTACTCTCCCTCGCTCCACCACTACTATGAACACCACTGTGGATATTAAGATAATTTTGCCAAGTAAGTTTGTTCTAATAGTGTGGTCCTATTTTTATTTGCACTTTATAGTTGACTGTCCAACACTAAATTCTACGGATACCATGATGGTCAACATGAGCTCCACTGCAGTGGGCAGTACTGCTACCTATCAGTGTAGAGATGGTCCCACTGATGTGTACACTACTCAGTGTACCAGTACTGGAGTATGGGACCCTCACCCTCTCTCTACTCTGGACTGTGAAACAGGTGCAGGAGTCTATCTTAGCATTGGGACTATATTACCATCAGATGGAGGGGTTTAAAGTTTTCGTTTGCATTCATTCTGTTGTGTCCCTTATGGACAAGTTTTAGTTTAACCAAAGTTAATAGTGCCTGGGTTTCTTTCTTGCTCACTATCGAACCAATACCAGGGGTGAAAGACAACGGTGCAAGGATGTCAGTACCAGTGGAGGTCATTGTACCAGTTACTGTTGCTGTCGTTTGCATTGCTGGCATTTTGATAGTGGCGACTGTAATAGCAGTGGTGTGTGTGTTGAGAAGGAGACAAACAAGTGAGTCCACCAATATACACACCACACTGTTGCCATTGAGGTTACATTTTCTGCCTCAGATACGAAAAAGAAGAAACAAAACAGGTTTTTATTTATTGTTCATGGGGTGCTATAATAAAGCTTAATCACACAGAGCACTAGGAGAGCATGTAATTACCTTTGCCCACTACTCTTCCTGTAATGATAATGAGGAGGGTAACCCTGACCCGACGAGCACTACATTCACTGACCATGAGGCAGCGCTGAATGAACTGTACTCAATACCAAGATCAGTACTAGCGACTGCAGAGACCATTAATGTGTCCACTGTGGCCAGTACCGAACCGGAACAGACAAAAGAAGACCAATCCACAGTGGTACAGCCAGGTGGAGTGGTCCGGGAGCAGGAAAATAAGAAAACAGTGCAAAATCCAGCATATGGAGAGGTGCGGATGACAGCAGGGCAGCTCAGTGGAGGGATTTCTGTGGTCCAGACAAGATATGAGCCAGACACTGCAGACAACCCCCCAGTAACCCACAGGAGACTTGTTCAAGAAGTAAATCGTGAGAAATATTATTATGTGGTAGCTAGCTCTACACTTGTTCCATACAGGATGATGGAGGGATATTTGACATATTCTGTGAGCCAACACATGCCTCTCTGGACTACAATGCTGTAGTGACTCCACCACCACCTGACACCTTTGTGTGTCTGGACCAGATCCTCATTCAGTTGAGAGAAGTCACTCCTCACTGGAGGAAACTGGGAGAGGCAGTTGGTGTACACAGGCTGGACGAAATATCTGAATATGTATGTCAACCATGGGAAGTATTGTCTTATTGTGATCTCTCTCTGTCTAGGTGGATAGTGAGAGTGAGGCAATGGTGGAGGTGGTGGATGGATGGCTAGCCAACCTCCACCCCAACAAGCCCACGTGGAGGGAGATAGCTGATGTGGTGGACAGCATTGGTCATCATGACCTGGCTCACTCCCTCAGACAGGTCTACATCTCAGGTGATACGTAATTAACTTCCATAGACTGCCTACTGTAACCACACGTAATGTGTCACACACCTGTTGTTAGCAACTCAATTATTAATCTCCCGTACAGGTCAGCTCCCTATAATGGTCTCGAATGCCATATCCGAGAGAGTATTCCAAACGGTTCCCCCACCTGTCATCCCCCCTCGTAAACCCACTAACAAAGCTGACAATCACTCCCATGAAGTTCTGTGAAACTATAATTAGAGAGACAATAGAAGCATTATTAGGCTAGCATGATAACTCCTGTTGCTCACACTCATTAAAAGGAATGTGATTTTCGCCCATATTATGTTGTGACGAAAATGACTAATGGGCGAAGTTACCGCAGTGCGCAGGCGCAGTGGTCCGTGCACACGTGGATCAGAGGCTAGGCGTACGTAGAACCGAGGCCCAGGCTTTGGTGATGGCATGTGGCGGGAGCGGTGACCCAGGTAAAGAGTTAGCCACATGTCCAGCGTAGTTGAATAGTGTTCCACGCCGCAGGGAACGACTCTGGAGGGTATGAGCACGACTTCGTGGACTCAGTCTCCCACAAGTACATGTGCGTCATCTGCGAAAAGGTCCTGAGGGATGCCCGCCTCACTGCCTGCTGTGGCCAGCATTTCTGCGACTCTTGCCTCGCTCGCTGGACGGGCACCAGCGGCCGGTCGACTAGAAAGAATACCTGCCCGCACTGTCGCAGCGAGACTTTTCAGAGCATCTTGAACAAGGAGAAGATACGGGAGATCAGCGAGCTCCGCGTTCGCTGCACTCACAGCAAGAAAGGGTGTCAGTGGCAGGGGGAACTGGGGCCACTGAAACAACACCTAGAATCTTGTGACTATGTCATCGTCTGTTGTCAACTCTCTGGGTTTGTGGTGGTCCACACCGAGCCTCTTTTCCCATTCTCTCGTGCATGTTTCAGTCTTCCGATACCTGAAAACCCGTTCTGGGACTGGGGGTTGGACGAGCTGCCAGACTGTGAATTTGAGAGCTACGATGACGAAATGCTGGAAATGTGCCGTGCCAAGATGGAGAGACGTCGTCTCAGAGAGCACCAGGAGACAGAGTGTGTGTATCGCATGTACACTTGCGAGCACTGCGGCTATGAAGACACGTATGACGCCATAGCGGGAAGTGGACGTGTGAGGAAGGAAGACTCGGAGGTGAAAGGTGAAGGTAATCACTACGAGGGGTGCCCACAGTTTCCACTGGAGTGCCCCAACAAGTGCAGCGCAAAGGGCATCAAACGCAGGAACATGAAGGCTCACCGAAACAAGTGCGCCAAGGAGCAGGTGGAGTGCCCGTTTGGCAGAAATGCTTGCATCGTCGCACGTGAAAATGTTGAAAACCATAAGAAAGAGTGCGAGTTTCGACCGTATACGTGCGAGTACTGCGGGACTGAGGGAACCTTTGCCTCAATAACTGGGCAAGAAAACTTCAAATTCTACCAGCTCCTCTAGGGTTGCCACTACGATGAGTGTGAAAAGTTCCCAGTAGACTGTCCACATGGGTGCGGGGAGAAGGGCATCAAACGCAAAGACTTGAAGATTCACAGGTGTTCCCTTCAGCCTGCCGACTGTCCGTTCGCCCACGTGGGCTGTGTTGTTAAGACGTCACAGAGAGAGATGGATGCCCACTGCCGTGATAACATGCAGGATCATCTACTGATGATGGCCAGATCTCTTCAAGAACTGTCCGACAAGAACAAAGATCTGGTGCAAAAGAACGAAGAGCTCACCAGGAAAAACGAAGATCTCACCAGTAAGAACGAGGCACTCTCTTGCAAGGTTGAAGATATAGACAAGCAGATGCTTCGAAAGTATGAAACTCTTGGTGGTGAAATTGACCACTTGGATGAAAGGTTTAGTCGTCGATATGAGGACCTGGAACAGAGGATTGGTGGACTTCAACTTGCTCATGGCTCCAACCGTGGGCAGTACAGAAACCGCCGTAACCAAAGAAGAGGCCGGAGTCCAATGTATTGAATACCCCTAGACATTCATGCGTGTCATAAAGTCATAGGTTTATTTGCCCCCGGTGATCCATATTATTACTGGTGGGGGGACCCGGGAGTAGGTGTTTTGTGATGCGCATGCGCGCGCGGATCATGTCGGCGCGCACTCTATAAAAGGTCGAGCACGCACTTCAACCACCAGTATTATTATACGTGCGTGCAGCGCGATGTGTAGTCTTACCTTCAGCAGGAAGCTGGTGCTTCTCGCCATGTTAATGGCGTGCTCACTCTGGCCAGGAAGTAAGAATAAAATTGTGCAAGGCCTGTTCACTATAACTTCCCCATTCCTCGCCCGCAGTGCAATCCCAGAATCCTACAACCAACTGCTCTGTGACTGTACCGCTGACTGCACCGGTCACAGTAGTCCCCAGCTGGAGATGCGTGCATCAGCTGCGTTTTCAACAACTCGTTGGCTACAGATGCAGTCTTTAACGACATAGAAATGTACCCCGGCAGCGTCCAAATGGAAGGAGGAGTCCTGACGGTGTATGACACGGAGGAGACATTTGGTGGTGCAGAATCTGGCAGTGGGAGCACAAGCACTGCCTTTTCTTTGAGCTGCAGTAATGGCATCGACAATGTCACTGCAGCAGTGTATGTTGAGAGTAGGTTTATCACTAAGACTGCATCACTGTAATGTTAGAGTTATACAATGTGCAGGTTTTGAGCCACCAGTGATTACAGGAGAGACAACAATAGTTGAAGGCGATGATCTCCTCCTGCAATGCAATGCACCCATCTCTATCATTTCCCCATTTCTCATGTGGTTGGACTCAGCTGGACAAGTGATCACACAGACTGCAGACCTCGTAATTACTAATTTCACCAGGGACATGGCAGGAATATACACCTGTGTGGCTACTTATACTATCACAACCAGTTTTATAATTAACGCTACTGCCTCTGTCATGGTGCAAAGTGAGCCTAAACTCTGTAGCTATATTGTATAGCTGAGACCTGAAATGTATATACTTCAGTTTCAGATCTACCAGTAATCAGTGGAGAGAATACTATCACGGAGGGTGGTACACTGAATCTGGTTTGCAGAGGAGCCAACAGCTATGCCGACCCGCAGCCAACTCTCCAGTGGTTCTCTCCTACTGGAGCAGAGCTCAGTACCATTGGGAGCCTAGAGATTGTGAATGTCACCAGAGACATGATGGGAGCGTTCACCTGCGTGGCCACCGATCCCACCACCAGTGCTACAACCAACAGCACTGTCATCGTCATTATCCAGTGTAAGAAAAAGCTACTACAATGGACTCTTTATTGTGGGTATGCTAGGCGCCAAGCGAGATTTTCTGTGTAGTTCAGATTAAAGATTGTATTTATGTTTTGCTTTATTTTTTCAGCATGTAACTTTTACGAAATATTGAAGTTATGTAAGTCCATAGTCACAAGATAGAGAAATACCAGTTCTTGTTTGTTGTACTCAGATCCTCCTGTGGTGGTTGTTATCAGTGAGGGAGGTACACTGGTGGTTGTCTCAGAGGGTAAAACCCTGCAATTGACCTGTTCAATTGTGGGGAATCCCTCACCAAACTACGTCTATTGGACCAGAGGCGGCATTCAACTGAGTAACTCGTCAGATCATCGAGTGACTGTGGAGACGTACAGTACTTCTAGTACCACTCTGACTATAGTTGGTGTCCGTGGGTCAGAGGGAGGTGAGTACACCTGCTCTGCAGACAGTGATGTGGGGAACGGCAGTGAAACTACAAGTGTCACAGTCCAAGGTGACGTTAACACACCAACACCAGAACCACACACACATACACCAGTACACCTGTCTAACTGTAAAGAGCCTAAATCAACTTAGAATGTTGTAAATGCACTTTCTGTGTTGTTTTGTTGATTTTTGTCACCTGTTATTGGCGAGCGAAACAAGCCCTCCTATATAGCCATTATAATTTACTTGTATTTGCTTTCTGATAGTGCATTGCTACAATGGGGTAATCTTCACTGTTTTCCTTTCACTGCAGCTCGACAACCAATTTTGTTTGAAGCAATTCAGGTACCAAATGGTACTACTGGAGGATGTCCAGATACGACTCAAACGAGGGCCACAATATACTCAGAACTTCGCATGTGTACTGCAATATTATGTGTTACAAACTGTACATCTGACAACTATGTGGCTAAAAACAGAGTCACAACAGTGGTAAATGTAGACCACAGAAGTTTTTGGTTTGTGCATGACAAGGACATTATTATGACGTGTATACTTTTAGCTGTTAAAATGATGTCAGTATTTTTGTCTAAAGTTGCTCTTGTGCAGCAAACGCTGGCTCAGAAGTAACGTTACCACAAAATATTCAGAACAAAACAGTATGAATCAAATGGATGATGAATCAGTTAGATCACTCCCCTTATTCAAATCTCTGCAAGGGTTATTTTGAAAATGTCACAGACCATCAGTCATAATTATTACTCATCTCCTGTTATTATGAGTGTGTTCAGTGTTCAGTGAGAGAGATGCACAAAAGCTGCACAACTGTGTCAACTAACATCTGTTTCAATTTCATCTCTACTACCAGAAAACTATCTGTGCTTAGCTAAGTGTTTCCAAACCACAACCACAAACATGCATGACGTAAACTACCACTGTGTCCTAGAGGGAAAGCATGCTACCTTCTTCGCCATCACATGTATAACAAAGGTTCACCCTCGTAAGCTAGCTCATCCATGTCGGCGTCCCCAAACCCTCCCTCCCTCCTCCTCCTCACCATCACTGTACTCCACGAGCCCACTCTCCTCCACCATCTCAGAAACCACACCCCCTCCTCCCCCTTCCACCTCATTCCCTTCCACCCCCACCAAATCTGGACTTCTCAAACTAATCTCGGGTAGTGAATCGGACAAAGTAGTAGTTAGTGACAGACTATGGTCTATCAGTGCTGGCTGTCTGCTGTCAGAGGCAGTGAGTTGTGAGTCTACTACTGGTGGCGATACTGGTAGAGCAGGTTCCACTGTGTTAGTCTGCAGTCGCGGTAGCCTGTACAACATTGGCGAAAATATGAATCGAATACGCTCTGACTAATCTCAATGTACGCAGTGGAATATCTCTCTAAGGAAACACCTGAAATGAGGACACCTCTCTAGAGACAGGACACCATTTCTTTCCCCAAAAACAGGTCATGCGTGAAATTTCACCCCAGAAATAAGGACACCTCACTAATACGGACACTTTCTTTTGCTCCATTAGTGTCTGGATATTCCGATGTAGTATATAGGTACACAGAGCAGGCTCACTTGGGAGAGAGGGCCTGAGAACCTCTGGCAAAGGAGGGGAGCGATCGCTTCCTCGACTGGAGAGAAGGCAGTCTGTCTCTCCTCCCAGGGACCAGGGGTGATCTGGGGGTAACTGGAAGTGAGCCACACCCACTGAACCCCGCGACCCCCTCGTCTCCACCCTCCCCCAGCCCACCCTGAGAGGTCTCTGAGGTCACCCCTGCCACAGAGTGTCTACTAGCACCGGGCTCTTCAACCAGAGTTGGCTGGTGACTCGATTCCCCCTGACTGCTCATTGTCTTGTCCAAGTCTTTCAAGACGTCGTAGTTTATCTTTGTCGATATTCTCCTCTCGACGAGCATTCTCTCAATGGCCTCTCCGGCGGTGCTGGCTGGCTGGCTCACCCTGGTCTTCCTCTTGTTGTATTTCTAACCACATGCCCATCATTATTAAAATTACATGACACTATAGCTATGCATGCAACTAGTATAACAATAGTTGTAACCTTTTTGGGTTTGTCGGCTTTGGCGGCTTCCAGGGCAGCAAGTTTTTCTCGTTTTACTGAACACAAGGTTTTCAAATCACATGCTAGTCTCATACATATGCATGCACATAGTAAGAACCTCCCCAACGTAGTACCTTCTTGCTCTTTTAAGAAGTCTGCATTCTCACTGTACCAGAGCTGTGCCTTTATCTTTGCCTCTTCCTCCGAAGTAACATTGTTAGAAAGACATAACAAATTATAAAAATTCATTGCCCATAAGCTGAACATGTGGGTTTTGGATACCATTTCAATTTCTTTGTCGTCGATGCCCTCCAGATAAGCTCACTGTCCTCCGGTCTTTCACATGGTCTTGCCACACCTAACAACAACACAGCATGGCTTAAAAGCCACATGAAACTGACTATAATCATAGATAAGGATGGGATAATTACAGCAAGGACATTTCAAACCTTTGCGATTGGGTGCAAGTAAAAAAAAATTAGCAGAGAAATATTTATGGATTGCTATATAGTCCAACAAATGATCCACACTACAAACTTACCTTTGTAAACTAAAGTATATTCGCAAGCTTTCTCCAGAATTGTTTCCCGCTCTGTATATACACAGTTCTACTGACCCGTGTCTTCCTGATAACAGTGTGGCAAGAGTGTCCAGTTCTCAGAGAGTCCTGCCTTGTAGAGGAGCATCATGAAGGCCTCGCTATTCTCCCCTCTCTATGTCTCCTGCAAGGATACAAAATAGTGTGACACTCTCATTGTTTGCTAAACTTCACCTTCCCTTTGCATTACGGTAAACACAACTTAGTAGGTCAAATCCAAAACTACACTATCCACGGCCACATATTGGTGCCTAGTAACATTATTGGGGAACCACGCGATACCAGTAACACACCAACATCAGCTGTCACAACACAGACCTCCAATGAGCCAATGACGATGCCTCCAAACCACCCCACTCCTCCCTGGCCCTCTCCTCCTCCTCTTCGCCTCCTCCCTCTCTCTTTGGGCCTCACAACGTCACCTTCCTCTCCCACTTCACTTCACTGCCCGAATCCTGTGTGGGGGGACAAGAACAGTCTCACTTGATAAAAGCTCTTGTCTAGATATTTTGAACACAGGACAAGTTCAACATGGAAAAATAGTAAGGTTGTGACCTTGATTTAATAGTTTTAAAAAGAGTGTAGGATCAGTAGCTAACACACTGCTATGTTTTCACTCACTGTCTTGGGTGCTGGTTGTCTGCTGTTTGGACTTCTTCTTGGCGTCGTTGAAGCTGGGAGGGTCGTGCTCCTGCTCCAGGTCGATCTTGAGGAACTCGTCGATGGTGAGTCGACTCGACGCCGTTGTCCTTGAAGTCCCCAAGCTCTTCCTGATGGTACCCTCCAGAGCTTCACCCTTTGGGCCCCTCCCGCGACCCGACGGTTGTTGAAGTTGTGCAGTTCTGGCAGCCACCAGGAGTGCTGGTACATACGGAGAGCACACAATAAGGAAACGTAACCATTACACTAGATCAGACTGTCAAAGAGTAGTATACAAGGTGGATATCGTACATAATGCAGGCTCTAAAGCATCACTGAAAATAGAAGGAATATTTCCCTGGCATTATACCAAAAATTATGTAAGTCAACGAAATAATGAGAATGAGCTTTTCATAACACGTAAGTTAAGATATTGTGATCCCATATACCTTCAGCTTGCGGCAAACGTGTTCAAAAATTTGTGTCAGTGTCTTTGCCCCACACACATACCACCATACACATGGAGCAGTGTATACTGTATATACCTGCCCCACAGAGTCCGCAGGTCTCCGACCGTGTGGATCCAGTCTCTTTCATCCTGGCCACCAGTCTCATGGCCGTTCACCGACACTTCGTGGTCTTCTCCGCCAGCTCCAGCTTGTGGGCAAACCGGTGGATGTAGAGACCGGGTCTGGTGAGAGAAACAACATGGTTTAACGAGTATGGGTTAACACAGTGAAGTCACCTAATATCATACTTATTTGTGCATAGATATTATGCAGGTAACATATGACTTCGATTAATAAACGGTTGAAATAGAGCACTGTTTGTATTAAGTATGAAGATACACTATTTATAATCTCCATGCCTTCTCTTTACCGTATTTCATAATAATTATATCTCATTTGAACTGTTGGTTTTCAACAAGTTTAACGGATGCTAAATCTAGAATTGGTTTCTGTATATACACCTTACCAATAGCTGGTGGGTTGATGTGGCAGAGCAGTGGCCAGTTTGAGGTAGGCCCTGCCCAAGCATTACACGTTGATCTGCACAGCCACATACACGCCGGATTAATACAACACACCTCCTGATAGAGTACAGTCTTAAGGCTCCCTGCCAAACATCGTGAAATCCAGCAATAGATCTTTGAGCAAGTGTTAAGACAAACCAATGATTGAGGCTACTAGACAACTAAAAAAACTCTGTGCTGCATCACTCATTTGTGTATAAAAGCAAGGAAAGTGCAAGAAACTACATGCATTGGTTAATGTGAAAAGAAAGTAGATAGTGGAGGGCCCTCCTGCGACAGACTAGGTAGAGGCAGGCAGTGTCCACATGCTGGATTTACGACCTCGCGTGAGGTGTTACGGTGAGCGCCATCTTGAAGAACATGAACGCCGAGTCGATGCAGTGGTGGTTGAGCTGAGCAGGTTCCCGAGGTTTGTGAGTCTTTTTTGCTGGGACCAGAGTGGTAAGGCAGATCCGGCACACCACCGGTAGCAGTCTTACCAAGTATATCTACGGCCTTACCTTGCTGCAGAGTGACCTCTCTAGAATCTTACCATCCCATGATGAAACCCGTTTCCACTGAGGGTTCTTTCACCTTGAACGGACAAAAATTTCGCAAGAATCGACCGATGCTGACTAATAGCTGAACCCACCTTCGGAGGAGACGAATTGGCCTACGACGGTGGACGCCCCGCTGCTCTGCTCTGGAAGATGTTCGCGAGACGATTATGTTGTCTTCTAGCACGGAGCCGCAGCTCGTGCAGACGGCGTCGCCGCGCGCTTGGTCGGTACTCTATGTCAGTGCCACCGCATTGCGAACAGACGCTGGACATTTTCTCCAATAACGCACACCTTCAGTCAAAAATTGCAGATTCAGCACAAAACGATGCGCTACCACTGTCGCGCATGCGTAGTAGTGTGCCAGAATCCTGCATTATAAGACGCATGGGAGCTCCCGCGGTATATTATATTCGGATTGGACACAGACGATCATGGAGAGAGTTTGCAGCATACCTGTAGTACGTGCTCTGGCCTTGGTGGCAATTCTCTACCAATGCGCTACTGCTGCAGCTGATCACGCCGCAGCCGCAGGAGGTAAGATGTCGATCAGTAGGGTGTTCGATACACTTCCCTTTGTAACAGTTTAGAGGCCACAAGTATATGACTCCAAGTATATAGGGTCGGCTTGCATTGTTATCAGCAACTATCTTGTACGCAATGCAAAGTGGCAGAACTGCAGTAAAAGGCAGTTAGCTAGCTATCCACGTGCTAAATACCTACCGGCAAACAGAAGCCCCTCTCCACCACCACTAGCTAGCTCTGTTAGCACTTGTACTATGACATTGTATGTGGTTAGGAATTTCTTGGCCCAGATTGGAATGATAATAAAGTGTTATTACTCCTCACACTGATAAGGTGTTCATTACTGATGAGCATTGGTTTGGTCACACACACACACCCACAGGTATATACTCAAAGAGTAGTTGGGGTGTGTGGGGGGTGGTGTGGTTGGGTGGGGGTGTTTGTTGTGTTGTGGTGGTGTTGTGTGGGTGTTGGGTTGTTTGGTGTGTTTGTTGTTTTGGGGTTTTGGGTGGTTGGTTGGTGGTTGTGGTTGGTTTTTGGGTTGGTGTTGGTTTTTTTGTGGTGTTTTTTGTGTGGTTGGGTGGTTGGGTGTTGGGGAGGTGTGTGTTCTGCAGCAGTGGCGTGTGGTTGTTTGCTAGCTTAAGGAATGCATACATGAACTGGGGTTAATATAACATTATAGTCTCAGTGACCCACTGGTAGAGAGGTAAGTCACACACACTTCTTCAAATTATATCCCAACATGCTGGGGCAATGACAAAAGAGGACAGTACCAACAATAGGGCTGATAGCTAGGAATTCAATAGGGCTACAGCAGTGAATCATGTCATGACTGACAGTATGATGACCCAGCTGTTGTGAACGAATCAGTACTTTATTGTTGCTCTGGCAGCAGTCCGCAAAAGAGGGGCGATTCATGGCCCCTGATCTGGGAAGAGATGACATTTGCAAACTCGACTACACCAGATCACGTGGCAGGGGTACCACAAATTGGCTCGGATTAAACGGGGCCCCTGGTTGTTTGCAACGTTTCCTCCCCTGGCTGGCGTCACAGGACCAGGACTAAACTACAACGCACAGTGGGCTGGATTTTGGCATCAGTTGGTTGGCATGAACTTGCTGGGTGACAGATGGAGAGGACCCAGCGTTTTGTAGGACTCTGGACATGCCACAGTAATGGCTACGCCGGAAAAGGAGAAATCTTGCCGTCAA